AAAAACAAAAAGAAGACAGCAAATGGGAAAGTAAACTGGTAGAACCACTCTGGAAACCCATCTGACAGCATCCAACTAAACTAGTTTAGTCTCTTCTGCAACAGCACAGCTCAAAGCATCATTTCTTCTTCTGTCACCCTTATTCATTGTCTAGTCTCAGGTGCATAGCAGGTGATTGAAAGGACCTAACTAGGCACACTTCAGTTTTCTAACATCACTGCTCCTCAGTAATTCGGAGAGATCCCTGAAAGTGGGCTTGCCCAATGCAATATGTCTTCTGATCTGCTGTTGATAACGAGATTCTGGATCCAAGAAAGATGAAATCACTGATAATTTCAATCTTTTCTCCATCTATCATGATGTTGCCTACTGGTCTAATGGTGAGAATTTTTATCTTCTTGAGATTGAGATGCAATCCATATTAGTCACTGATCTTCAACAGTGTTTCGAGTGCTCCTCACTTTCAGCAAGTGAGGCTGAGTCATGTGCATTGTGCTGGCTGTGGTGTTGGAGAAGGGCACTGAAAATCCCATGAAAACCCCAAACAAATGTGTCTTGGAAAAAAGTGCAGCCAGGGTGTTCCTCAGGGATAAGGACGGTGAAACTTGGGGCATGTTGCTAGGAGAGGCTACACCATGGAAAGGGATCTCGTGTGGAAAGACGGTCAGCGAAAGTGAGGTAGCCCCTCAATGAAATGGACTGACACAGCGACTGCACCAATGGGCTCAAGTGTGTCAGAGATGATGGTGATGGCACAGCATAAGGAACTGCACTGCCAATGCAAAGGTTAAGTGGTTTGAATCCACCAGCCACTCTGCACGAGAAAGATGGGAAATCTCAACCGACATGATTTACTGCCTCTGAGAACCTACTGGAGGGTCAGCTATAGGTCAGTTCTGATTTGATGGTACATAACAATGGAGCAGCTCCACTCCTGGCTCTGTTGTGTGTGTAAGTACACCAAATGACAGGTACGAGAATCTTCATAGCTTTATTTAGAATAGGCAGAAACATGAAACAACTCAATTGTCCAACTGCAGAATGGCTACATTGTGAACTATTCATAATGCACTACAATGCAACACGATTAAAAAAAGTTTCTGATAATCAATAAAATGACTCTTTAATATGGAACCAAAGAGAGTATGACTCCATTTCCTAAAGTCCAAGAGCAAGCCGAACTACAGTGACAGAGGGGACACTCTCTAGGGGGACGAGAGGATCTCCTGGAGGACTGGCAGTGTTCTGTATCTCAATCTGAAGGCTAGCCGCCCAGGTGTATGCATGTCAAAGATGATTCAACAAATATGTGTGGGGCATATGGTCATTAAACCATGACATTAATGTCCATTACTAAATTTATGTTGTATCTCAAAATGGTACATTACAAAACCTCTGAGGTGTGGTGGACAGCAGTTGTTTCATCCCCCCAGCAGGCACCTTTTTATTTTATACTGGTTTACCTACAAAGTTTATAAAGTTCATATAGTTTTTCACACCAGACCTCTCCCTTTTCCTTTACCAAGTCCTCTCTCCACCAAGCCACCTTCTTTTTTATATTTTTCATTGTGATTTTAGTGAGTTTATAGAAAACTTGGATTTCCATTCATTCATTGTTGCACATTTTCCTCCCTCCCCTCCCCTGCCCCGTTTGCTTTTCTCTTTAAAAAACTCATTGTTGCACAATTTCCTCCCCCAACCCCCAGTCCACTTTGCTCTTATTCTGTATTGTTGTCATGCAAATAATGCATAATCATATATTGCTTTTAAATAATTATTTCATCTGTTCCAATGCAGTGCTCATTATTTACCCCCTCTTTTCTCACACTCCCTCCAAACTCCACTGTCAGTCCTGTTTTGTAACAGTGGCATTATGTAGTATTTGTCCTTTTGTGATTGATATATTTCACCCAGCATGCCTTCCAGGCTCACCTATTTTGTATATTTTATGAGTTTCTTGTTTTTCAGTGCTGCATAGTATTCCATTGTGACTATACTACAGCTTCCCAATCTGCTCATTTGTTGATGGGCACTTGGGTTGCTTCCATGTTTGCTATTGTGAATGACACAGCAATAAACATGGGTGTGCATATATCTGCTTGGGTGGCAGTTCTGGGTTCTTTGGGGTATATTCCCAGTAGTGGAATTGCTGGGTCAAATGAAATTTGTATTTTCAACTTTTTGAGAAAGCTCTATTCTGCCTTCCATAGTGGTTGCACCATTTTACACTCCCACCAATAGTGAACAAGGGTTCCAATCTCTCCACAACCTCACCAGCGTTTGTTTTCTGATCTCTTGAACTTTGCTATTGTTACTGGGGTGAGATGATATATCATAGTTGTTTTGAGTATCCACCTTTTTTTTGTTTGTTTAATCATTTTTTAAATTAATTTTGATGAAAGTTTAGAGAGACTTTGGATTTCCATTCATTCATTGTTGCATTTAAGCATCCACCTTCTTAAAAGTTCACAATTCTCTTCTCTTAGGGATGTTGCTCTCCCCTTTTCTCAATCATCTTGCTTTAGGTGAAGCTGACTCCTCCCTGGTTTTAGGACTCATGTCAGACTATCATCTTCCCCTTGCCACAGCGACTACTACTGCAAAATGGGAACAGGACCAAGCTGCCTAATGAGTTAACAATCCCAAACTTTAGCTGGAACTAGCAGAAAAAGATGTTATTTCCACTGTGGCCGCTAATCGATCAGGGATAAGCCTGGAGCTGCCAGCGGCCATTCTGCCGTCTCACGAAGAGAGCCACACGGAGGAAAGCAGGGTGAGATGGAGTTATTCCTGGACGTGGAGTTTTCAGAATGTAAATCAATAAGCTCCTCTTTTTAGTTATCCACTTTGATTTGGCTTTCTTACACTTATAATTAGAACATACTATACAGGGAATTTGGGGTAAAATTATGAGTGCTATGGGAGGAGGCACAAAGTAAAAAATAACATGGAGCTTCATCCCATCTGTCTGGTGGGTGCTGAGAACTGAGGACCCACTCTGTCTGGGACCATGTGGGTCCCTTCCCAGCTGGCACCGAGCAGGTGCCCAGGGAGACTGTGCAGAGTGGAAAATGGGAACCAATGTTGCCTGGGAGCCTGTGTCAGATCTGGATGTCTGTAAGAAAGGCTGACAGAGCCCCCCACCCATCTATCATGCTCTCGCCTTTCCCAGCACGTTTCTGGGCCATGGCTCATTTTGGGGGAAAGGCTCTTGCAAGAACCAGCAGACCTGTGGTTAAGTCCCAAGAAACAAACTTCTACCCAAGGAGATAGGCAGGAAAAGGCCACCTGTGCTCATGCATCCTCATTCTGCAAACACTCCATGTCACCCCAATCTGGGCACGCGGTGCAGATGAGTGAGGCCGGGTCATTAACCTGGAGAGAGCCAGAAAGGACACAGCCTTCATACAGGCTCCTTATCTCCTTTCCTGCTCCCTTGCATTCCTTCTCCACACAGCAGCGATCCTTTCAAAACAGAAAGCTAATTCCTAGATTAACCCCTTACGAGCTGTCCTTGAGGCTCTATGCAACAGACTGAGTGGATTATGTTGTGCTGAGTGTGGGGTACTTAGTAAACGTTTGGGTTTGTGTCTCATTTCCCGAGATCAATCCTGGGGCCCTGTGACTCTAAGTGGGGTAGGGATGAGTGGTCAAAAGACAAACTAGATTAAATGGATATATGACCCCAAATACCCAATCTTTTAAGCTGCAGGCTAGAACACAGGAGAAATTCTTTATTTGGATGCTTCAGTGACCAAGAGGTGGAGCAATAGCACACACCCACACGCAATATGTGAAGGCATTTCACAGGCAAGAGGACAGAGAGTGGGGGAGGAAGCTCTAGGAGTGGGGGGCGCTTTTTTGACCCTATAAAGAGGGGCATCTGATAGTGACACTCCCAAATATTCTTGCTTGAAAGCAACAAGAAGAAATCCATTTCCAGGGAAGTTCCAGGTCAGACACAGCAGATTTGAAGAGTTCTGGGTTTGGGGCCTGAGAACATGCTTCCTTACTGTATAGAGATCTATGCCAGCTCTCCATTCCTTTTCTAGGGGGCCCCTATCTGCCGCCTTGGTGTCCAAAAATCTCCTGGTGGGTGAGGGAAAGGTTAGCACCACAGCACCTGGCAAGGGATCTGCTATACATGGAAAGGAAAGGGCCAGCAGAGCCGAAGGGCAGTAGCAAACCTCTGGGCTGGCGGGCATGAGGCAGTTGCCTTTAAGGATGAAGATCTGTCATGGAAACTTGCATGTGCGGACCTTCCCACATGACCCTGGGGCACAGCGTCTCTGCTGGAGCAGAGGAAGGTTCCCATCTGAGTAGAGTGTTGCCCGAGCCCCTTGGTACTGCGGCAGCCTCTTGCTCTAGCCTGCCCTCAGTTGTTGCAGCTCCTTAGCACCACTCAGGAACTGTGGAAAAGGGACAGGACCATCACTGCTCTAAGAGGAGACTTCACAGTGACCAACACCCTGCACAAATGGCTGGCATCTGGCCCCAGGCTCAGGGGAGTCGGCCTTTTTTGGGGGAGGGAGAGTGTTGTTACATCAGCTCCAAGCTCTCAAGTGGCATCCACTTCCATCTGCCATTTCCTGCCTCGACCAAAATCCAGCATGAATGTTCCAGGTTTCTCTGGAGATTCCTGGAGCCCTGGGAGAGCTTAGGTCTTTAGCTGCAGATATTGGTCCAAAACTGACCTGCAGAACAAAGAGAGGACTTGGGGCCTAGGAACATTTGCCTGGCGGGACTGGGGAGGAAAGGTCATCCTTCAATTTACCACCCTGTGAGACCCCAAGTCCTGGTTACAGGGTCTGGCACCAAATGGAGGGACAAACTCTGGAGGCTGACTGCAACTTCCTGAACCAATCAAAGGTGCCTGTGGCCCAGTCCTGCCTCAGGTCTATGTACTCTCCAGCGTAAGAAAGGAGAAGGAGGGAGCCAGCGGCTGATCACAGGGCATTGGCTCATGGCTGGTCCAAGAGGGGGTGCAGAAACACCTCTATCTAGTCTTCCAAGGTGGTAGAGTCTTTCTTAATGGGTTGCCCTTGCACTGGAATCTGGCCCAGGGGTGAAGCCATTACTTTTGGTGATCTGTAATTTGAGAAAGAACAGAGGGAAAGGATCAGTTTGTGGTTGAGTTAGGAAGGCACTCTTAAAAAATGTTACGAAGGTCGCTTATTTTAATAGCACTTCTAGAGCCTTGACTACATATTCATGGCAGTTCTTCTCCACTGAGGCCCACTGCACACAAGGCACAGCTAATGCTTTGCTTCTTTCATCCCATCTTGTCACCACACCAGTTCACATACAAGGAAACTAAAGTTCAGGAGTTTATATGGCTTGACCAAAGTAAGCCTTTAAATAATAGGTTCAGGACTTTCTACTTTATCAAGTAGTTTCTACTTTATTTTTCCCCCGTGACAGAGTGAAGAGTTACCACTGTGCTGTCTCATTTAGTGGAAAATATTGTGAGTTTTTTTTACTACTGGGAGAAAGAAAAACAAACACTGAGTTTCATCCCCTCTGTCTGATGGGTCCTGAGAACTGAGGACCCTCTGTGCCTGGCACTGAGCAGGTGCCCAGAGAGAGTGTGCAGAGTGGAAATGGGAAAATGGGAACCAGTATTGCCGAGGCTCCTGTGTCAGATCTGGCACAGCTCTCCACTATATCAAAGCATCTGTCCAAGGCTACAGGCCCTGGAAGGTGCCCACCTCACCAACCTCATTCTGGACTGCTTTCCCTCTCACACCTAATCTCACTGCCATTCTTTATCCCTTTCTCTGGGCACCCTCTTCTAACTGATGTTGTCTCATTTGCCTATGGATTTTCTTCATCAGAAGAAGGACCCAGAGGAGCAGGGACATATTGATCTTGGTTGCTACTGTAATGCCAATACTCAGAATAGGATCAGGAACATAACAGGTGCTCAATAAATAACACGGTGAATCACTGAAAGTCTGTCTCTAATGACTGCTCTTCCTCGTGCATGTGGCTGTCACGTGCTTTCAAGTCAGCTCTGCCCCACAGGGACCCTGTGCACACAGGACAGCACACTAGGGGCTCCACACACCTCACAACCGCTGCTGTGCCTGACCCCTTGCCACAGCCTGTCTGTCAATCTATTTCCTTGAGGGGTTTCCTCTTTTTCACTGACCCTCTAATGGAGCTAGGCACTTGATAAATACAGTAAAATCTGTGAACGTTAAAACCCATTAAGGTGGAAATCTGTCAGAGGAAGAAACTCAAAATATTTTCCACTAATAGAGAGAGCACAGTGGTAGCACTTCACTTTATCACAGGTAAAAAATTTTTAAGGCCCAGAAAAAAAGGCCAGTGCTAGTGAGTTCCAGCTTTTAAAGGTTTTATTGTATCTCTAATTGTCACATTAATCTATGAGGTGAAATTGCTGCTTGCTAGTGGCAAGTAAAAAAGAATGGACTTTGGAGTCAAACAGATTTGAATCCTGGATTTATCTCCAAGTAACTGTGTGACTCTGGACAAGTCAATTACCGTATGTGACATCAGCTTTTTTTGGATTATACAACAGGGTTTTTAATTTAGAGCTGCTGAAAATTAAATGAGGCATTCAATAAATGGTAACTATTACCATTAAGGGAGGTCTACAGCCTGGTGGTTAAGGAGTTGGACTGCTAACCCAAAGACACTCAGGTCTTATCCACCAGCTGCTTTTCAGGAGAAAGACAGGCAGTCTCCTCTGATGCAAGTTACAGCCTCTGAACACCCATTGGAGGGTCAGCTATGAGTCTGTTTTGACTTAACAGCACATAACTGCAATAATTACCATTACAGAAGAGGAATTAGGAGCTCTGAGAGGCTTCACTGACTTACCCAAGATCACAAAGCTGAAAAGTATTTGGAAGAGAACAGAAAATCCCTGCCTTTTCAAGTCTATGTAGTCCCATGAAGTATCGGGAGTGGCTCAGGTTCTGGTGATTTGGTTGGCTCCATGCACATGCAGAAATCACCTTTAACCAAACTGCAAGGAGGTATGCTGAAAGATTGTGAGTCCCTGACTGAGGTGCTGGGGTTTGTTTCAAATTCATACTTAAGATAAGCGTCAAGGCCTCTTCCTCAATTAAGAACATATTCTCAGGTAAGGAAGAAATCTGCTACATCATGGGAGAGAGGTCATGGCAGAGTAGAAAGGACTGATGGTATTTTTGGCTCCAATACTGTTTCTACCACTTTTAATTCATTTGGCTCAATGAATAATGCCGAATTAACGATGAAAGTCAAAGTCCCTGTTTCAGCATATTTGTCTGTCTGAAATTCAGTGTCCTCAAATGTAACAAATGGGATGACAATTGTGACTGCAGAAGGTGATGTTGTATAGTATAAACAGTGGGTGAAAACGGAGTCATCTTACTTATTCCTCACAGCACGACTCTCTAAGGTCAGAATTACCATCCCAGTCTTACAGATGAGGAAATAATTTCTGAGAAGACCAAACAGTATCACAAGGACTCCTCCTGGAAGGTCCTCTCTTCTGCACGTGGTACCACAATGCTGCTTTAGCAGGACACAAATAGGAAAGCCTGCTATGTAGCCAGGAGGCACTATGTGGAACATGGCCTCCCCATGACATAATTTTGAATAATGGTTACCTTATCTTTCAAATTAGGATAAATATCTCTTCCTTTCAGGGCTACTGTGAATATTATCTGAGAGAATTCGCTAGGCACGTGGTCTCTAACAGAATACAACGGGCTCAAGGAATGTTGGTCATTTTCAAGATTATCAGGAGCTGAGAGACCAACATGACTATGTCTTTTTAAAGCTGTAATCAACCTATAAATATTGCTTGCTTGGTTATTGCCTGTCTGCGCCTATCAGAATAGAAGCAGGGACAGAGTGGACTTGACTTTCATTTGGAAACATGTTATCAAAGAATTTGGTCACATTTGGCAATTGCCTGTAGGGGGAGCCCCTGCAACAATACTGATGGCAGTAGATTACAGTCTCCAGGTCAGCAGAAAAGCAGTTCTCTGTTCAAGCTGCTAAAGACCAGGAAATCCAGGTATTTTTAGATGGCCATTAAGGAAATCTCTGCTTGTCTGATAAAGTCTTCTGCCCAAATGGTCCAAAGGTTGGGGAGAAGCTGATGGGAGAAAACCTTACAGAGGAGATATTTCTGTTAACTAATCTCTCATTTGTTGGCCACAAAAGGTTGTTAAGGTTCTATTTTAGCTAAGGGGAAGATGGGTTAATTCTGATTTAGAGGCTGCAGATGCTTTCATTTCAAAACATGGTTACTCACTGGTTCTTGTGCTTGAAGCCGCTGACGTGAGCTTGGTACTGCTCTATGGAGTTCAGCACTATCTTACACGTCTTGCAGGGGTAGCCCTTCCCAGCTGAAACACACAACAAAATCAAGATGCTTGGTTACTCAGTAAACAAGACCTAGGGACTGTTGTTTTTGATAGGACATGCAGATGCCCATCTCAGGACTGATGGTAAGGTGAGGTCACAGGGCAGGCCCTGATGAGAGAATCCCAGATGCCCAGGTGGTCCTTGGGGTTTGAACTTCCTTATTCTCACTCCTCTCTGTTTTCTCCAGAGCTTTTCCCAGAGTAATAATTTGAGTAAGTAAAGAATGACAGAAGAAAGAGATGACATTTGGTATAACTGTCTTCTCTACTCTGATTTTGCTAAGACTCATTAATGAGTCTTTGGGAAGGTGCCACTTTCCTTAGGCTTGCAATAACAGTAATTAATGAGAATGCCAGTTACAAAAAATCAATCTGTCTTTCTACCTGGGGCACCCAAATACCTTGTATTCTGACTACCAGGGCTGCACCAATGACAAAGTGGCCTTTTTCTATAAATCGAGCAGAGACAGCATGGGTCAGGAGCCAAGATAAGGAGCTGGATCCTTGGCTCTGCCTTTGTATGATTTGGCTACATACCATCTCTTCTCTCAATCTCAGCTTTTCTCAAGTACAAACCAACTTTACTATAACTTACAATCATAAAACAAAAATATCAAATGCTTTACATATGTCAATCACACAACACAACTTTGTTTGGTATGTGTAGCAGGTTAAGTACCGGGCAGCTAACCAGAAGGTCAAAAGTTTGAACCCACCAGCTGTTACATGAAAAAAAGATAGTCTCCTCTCAAACCAAGTGGAGGGTCACCATGAGATAGCATTTAAGTTTGGTGTGTTTTTAAAAAGCTTGTTTACAGAGTTATTTTATATTTTAAAATGCTGCAAATCTGCTGACTCAATTCTAACTTAGGTTGTTACAGTTGAGTGTAACTGACCCACAAGTCACCTTCAAAGGATTATCTGAGGCTGCAGATTGTATGGGAGGAGACGGGCCCAACTTTTCCCTTTGGAGTAGATAATGGATTCGAACCATGTGCCTTTGTGTTGGCAGTACAATTCCTTAACTACTAGTGTAAGCCTAGTTTCCAGGGCTGTAAGCTTTATGGGAGCAGACAGTAACATCGTTCTTTCATGGAGGGGCTGGTGGGTTTGAACCACTGCTATTTTTTTAGTAGCTGAGGGCACAGTCATATGTCCAATAACACAGTAAATGGCAAATTTAGGTCTGACTGACACGGTTCTATTTTTTCTAGCATGCCAAGTCTTAGCTGTCTAAGAAAGACTATTATATATACACAAGAGTACTCTGGCCTTGACACCAGACAAATCATCTCTCACTGTAAAGTCATACAGTTTTGGAGCAAGATTACCTAGGATCACATAACAGTGCTACCTCTTTTTAGCTGTGAGACTACTGGCCAATTACTTGACATCTGACTTACTCATTTGTAAATAAAAGTACTTCTCTAAGACTCAAGCTTTTCATATATAACTTGGGGATAGTATTAGCATCCACTGCATATAGTTGTTTCATGGTTTAAACAAACATTTAACACACAGTATGTATGGAATCAGTGCAAAAACATATAACTACTATCCTACTACACTATTTCAGGCAGAGGGAGAGGTGGAGCTTAACTTTAAACAGCCCTGCACAGCATTTTCAGCTATTGAGAACACTGACAGACTCTTCTAATAATCTTGTTAGCTCTTAGTTTTCAGCTATGCTGGTTTTCCTTGTATCTATACATGTTTTCTAGAAGACACATGTGCCCCTTTAAAGGCTTAAGGAAAAATTACTACCCTCAAAATTCAACAGTATTGATTCAATCAGTATTGTTGTTATGTGCTGTTGAGTCACTTGCAACTCAAAGCAACCCTATGTACAATAGTCCTATCTTGAGGCAATCTCATCCACATCCATCTCATCAATCCATCCTACCTAGGGTCTTCCGCTCCTGCACTGTCCCACCACCCTTCCAAGCATGTCTTTCTCCAAGGACTTGTCCCTCCTGGCTACATGCCCAAAGTATGTGAGATGGAGCTTCAAAATCCTTGTCTCCAAGCAGCAGCTTGGTTTCACCCTCTTCCAGGAAAGAACTGTTTGTATGGTATGTTCAATACTCTTCTCCAGCACAACTAAAAGACATCGATTCTATCATCCTTAGTCACTGTCCACCTCTCTGATGCTGAGAAAACTAGAGCCTGGATTAGGCACACCCTAATGCTCTTGAGCACTCTGGAGAAGTCTCTGGCAGCAGATTTTCCTAAAACAATTTGTCTTTTGATTTTTTGACTGCTGTTGTCAAAAGTGTTGACTGAGGAATCAAGCAAGCTGAAATTGTGAATAATCTCAATCCAGTTGGAGAACCTCTGTTTTCTTGATGTTGAGCTTTAATCCTTATTGAAGACTGTAGTCTTTGATAGATGGAAAAATGACTGAAAACATCAATGACTTCACCTTACTTGGATCCACAAATACACTTGTATCAGCAGTCAGGAGATCAGAAGATGTAGTGCTCTGGGAATATCTGCAGTCAGGGACCTCTCCAAATTCCTGATGAACAATGATGTCAACTTGCGGACTAAGGTGCAACTGATTCAGGTCACGGTCTTTTCAAACACTTGCTATTCATCTGAGAATAGTTCAATTTAATATATGCTATAACCAAAGCTTTTCTCTCAAATTCACATTCTTCTTTGCGTTTTAGATCTAAATATCCAACCGTCTGTTGTTTAACTTTTTTTTTTTTTTAAAAAAAGAATTGCTGGGGGAAGGGGCGGGCAGGGAGGAAAATGTGCAATAATGAATGAACGGAAATCCAAGTTCTCTATAAACTTTCATAAAAATCTCAATTAAATAAAGAAATAGGGACAACAATAGCAGAATAGCTCAGGGAGGAAAAAGCTGTCATATCTAGGGAGCAGGACTAGGTCCTGAAGAGTGGGGACAGGATTGGAGACTGCCTGTTATGATGATAAGCTTTTAAGTTTTATTGTTATTGTGTATCTTATTGTGGTAAAATATGTAGTGTAATCACCCCCTGAACCATTTTTAAGTGTATAATTCAGGGGCATTAATTACATTTACAAAGTGTGTAAACTTTGCCACTATGTACTTCCAAAATATTTTTCTTGGGTTTTAAAATTAAGAACATGTCTTTTTTCTGTTATTAGAGATAGAAGAGAAATCCCTGTTCAGAGAAAGGTGTTTCTGTAGCCACCTTCCTGCCTTCGTGGCACTACTTCTGCTGGTGACAAACCCCTCCCCAATACCATCCTTCAGAACTGCTGCCCCTGCCTCCTTGCCCTCACCTCACTGAGCCCTTCTGTTGTCCACATTCCCCTCTGAGAACCTTCCAGCTTAAGCTTGTTTGATAATAAAACACACTTCAACTGCCAAAAAAAAAAAAGACTTGCAATTCAACATATTTTTGGTGTATGTTGTTGTAGTTGTGTACCATCGAGTCAGAACTGAAGCTCGTACCTTTAAGATTGAGCATGAAATCAATTACATTAACTAAATGCCTCTTTAACATCTCTATTTAGATTTCTCATGGTCATCTCAAACTCAACGTGATGAAATTGGGTTATTCTCCTAAATAGATAAGCCTAAACCTAGTAAATCCTTGACTGTCCATTTTCTCTTCATCTCCCATATTTGATGGCAAATCTTGACAATTCTACTTGTATACTTCTTGAATTTCTCTTCTCTGTAAAACTTATATATGAATGGTGATATTTTATTGGAAATAACCTTTTTAGAACAACATAAACTATACATGAAGATACAGGAATCAGATGAACTACATCTGTGGAAAGAGGTAAGCGAGAAGGTCTGTATCTTCAGTTAGACCAAGGCCAGGAGCCAGCTGTGTGGAACAGACCATCAAGAATGTTGTTGATTGCCTTCAACTTGAGCACGATTCATAGCGATCCTATGAACAAAAGGCCTGAAGCCCCTCTATAACTAGTGACATTTATCAAAGTTCATTGAGATTCCAAAAGCAAGTTGTTTGAAGTGGATTGCACTTCTGCTTCCAAACCTCATAGAATGTGTTACTGGTTGAGCTGCCTGCGATGTATAGTGACCCTATGTACAGCAGCTCTGAACCTGAGTCGGTCTCACTAATTCTGACACAGCAACCCCAACCGCCCCAGTTACTGTATCAATCCATCTCATCCAGGGTCTCCTCCTGAGCTGTCTGTCCACCCTTCTGAGCATGATATCCTTCTCCAAGGACAAATCTCTCCTGGCTACGTACCCAAAGTGAGGCAGAGCTTCAAAATCCTAGGCTTCAAGGAGAGACTTGGTTTCACCCTTTCCAAGGCAGACTGATTTGTTTTCTTGGCAGTCCATGGTATGTTCAAGACTCTTCTCCAGGACTACAACTTGAAGGCATCTATTCTTCTTCTGTCATTCTTAGTCATTGTCCAACTTTCTGAAGTATAACAAGTAAATGAGAAAACCATGGCCTGGATTAGGTGCACCTTGGTATCTAGACTGACATCGTTGCTCTTCAGCATTCTGGAGAGGTCTCTTACAGCAGATTTTCCCCAATGCAATTTGTCTTTTGATTTCCTGACTGCTGGTATTGAGAGTGTTGATTGTAGATCTGAGCAAGCTGTAATTGCTAACAACCTCAACCTCTTCTCCATCATGGTGCTGGGCCAATTACAGACCATCAAGGATATGCATGCAAATTCAAATTGAAGCTGAGGAAAATGAAGACAGTCAATGAGAGCCAATCTTGAGTATATCCCAAATGAATTCAGAGACTATATCAAGAAGAGATTTGATGCATTGAACACTAATGACTAAAAATCATGTTGTTGACATCAAGGGATGTCATCAGAGACATCATACATGAAGAGAGCAAAAGGCCATTAAAAAACCCAGTCCTAAAAGAGACTCTCAAACATGCTCTTAGATGTAGATGGACAATCTCTTCCTGGGAAATTAATAACCTTGGAAACAGAGGGTCGGCTAAGTTAGTTCTGACTTGATGGCCAAGACAGTT